ACATAACTTTAAAATCAACAACCCTTATACTTTTTCAATAAATATACATACTTTCATGTAAAAATTAAATACTTTACAAACAATATAAATAAAAGTAAAACAAATACATATATTATAAAATAAAGATTGAAAAAAATTAACCATCTTTATTTGTCTTATATCGCACAGGCCTATACGTCTATCATCTATACTTATATAATAAGATATCATATATTCCTATTTACCAAATGTAGTAGGTTGAAAAGTCAACATAATTAATGCATTACTATTTCTATCCAGAATTTTATTTATTTTCTTATATCCATAAAAACAGTTTAAGAAAAAAAAATCCCATAACATCTGACAAGTAAAAAAAAAAAATTGACGTAAAATCTTTACTAAAATAAAAAATACTTTATTTATTTGTCTTACTCCATATTAACATCGTTTTGTCAAAATAAATCCCATAAAATCAGTGAAGTCAAAATTTGTACATAAAGTCTATCTATACTAACAAAATGCAGATTCAAAACTTTTTATCTAATTCCTTTTTTTATCTAATTCATTCTTTTCCTTATCTAATTCCTTCTTATTATCTAATTGTATGGAAATTTGTTCTGATTGTGTTCAATCCTCTAATTGTATTTGTATTATATTCCATAAAATCGGTTTAACATAAAAAATCTCATAACATCTGATAAGTAAGAAAAAAGTACATAAAATCTTTACTAAAATAAAAAAGGCTTTACTTATTATCTAATTGTATGAAAATCTGTTTTGATTTTATGGTACGTACTACAAATTGTGCACCCGTATTCAGGAGCTACTTAACGGGAAAGCTTTGTGGAAATGACTCATTAGTGCTTATGTCCTGTGCATAAGGTATGTATTTGTATTACACATACTAGAAAATTATGCACCACGTGCATCGCAGGGGCTCTGTACTAATAAATGATCTTAAAATTGTGCACCACGTGCATCACCCGTGTTCACATTTTGGCTTATTACAATTCACGTACTATATATATCCCGTACATTTTTGTATTTATTTATATAATTATAAGATTAGATAAATGACCTTAAAATTGTGCACCCCGTGCATCGCACGGGCTCTGTACTAGTACTTATATTAAAGGGGATCATATTTACTAAATATAGTAGTTAGAAAAGTCAAACTTAATTGATGAATTTCTAATTTTATCAAGTATTTAATTTATGCATTTAAAATTTTGGATATGCAAATCAAGTTAGCATTTAATTAGTTCCTAAAATATTGTGTATGCAATATTAATTTAGAAATATCCATGTAGTTCCTAAAATGTTAATTTAGAAATGTCCATGTAGTTTCTAAAATGTTGGTATGCAACACGTAAAAGAAGATTTTTAATTTATTTTAAATATAAAATACTGCAACACGTAAAACTATTCCAATTATTTTTTATTTTATTTTACATATAAAATCTAATCAATATTTAATGTATCTTATAAAATTGGATTTAGTTTAATTCTCCATACAATTTGTTGTAATTTTTTCAGTTGTACTTTATTTATTTATTTATTTTACACTTTTAAATTAATGAAACTCTGCGAAAATACCAAATCAAATGATTTATGAAAGTTTTTTTTTACAATTTTAAATCTATATACCCAGCTCAGAAAACTCATTGCATAAATATGGACGAGTTTAAGAAAATTTCATAACCCAACTTACAAAATTCCATCTTCACGAGTAAAAAAAATCACATCCCTCATATATCGTAACAACTTTAAAGATATAAATAAAAGTCTAATTACTACTATAAATCCATTATCTATTTAGATTTTTTAAAAATTTAAATTTCACCTATCTACTAATTTTTAGATTCTTTTAAATATTATTTGTATAATTTTTTTTTTACACATTTGCTCTCTCTCTATATATATACATATATGGAAGTTAAATGAAGAATTTTTAGACATGTTTTTCTTACGGGTAGTTTAGATAATTTAGGTAGCTTCAAATATTATTTGTGAATAATATATAATATTTTAGATGCTTTTATAGATGTTATAAAATATTTTAAGTATCTTTAATATTTATATATCACACTTAGAAAGAATATTTTGCCAAAAAAAAAAAAATTAATGCACATTGTAAATGTTAATAAAAACAATCTTCAGTGTTCGTCTTTGATGTCAATTACATATAAAATTTCTTTTTATTTGTCACATAATTTTTAGTGTGCATTAATCTCAATTTGTATTTGTAAATTGATAGCTTTTGCATTAATTTCAATTTGTACTGTAAAATTGATAAATTGTTAAGCGTACAAATTCCTTTTTATGGTATCAACTTAAAAAAAAAGATAGTAATTTTTGAAATATTGTGTAATCAAATCTTCGAAGTAACATCATAATTATTGTATCTTATAAATCTTCTCTAAAACAACTTTAGCGTGAGATAATGTCTTTATTTAGGCTTAAAATATTTTAGATACTTAAACAAAATGTTCATACATATTTTTTACATATTCTATATATATGTACATATATGTATATACTCACATATACGTAACACATGTTAAGTTTAATTATTTTAGACATGTTTTATTTACAAAATAGTTTAAAAAATCTTACATGCACTTTTATACTTATATAAAAGGCATTCTATTTACTAGAATTAGTAGTAAGAAAAGTCAAAGGTAATTAATGCATTTTATTTAATGGTTGTTATATAAAATATTATTTGTGAATAATATATAATATTTTAGATGCTTTTATAGATGTTATAAAATATTTTAAGTATTTTTAATATTTACATATCACACTTAGAAAGAATATATTGCCCAAAAAAAAAATTAATGCACATTGTAAATGTTAATAGAAACAATCTTCAGTGTTCGTCTTTGATGTCAATTACATATAAAATTTCTTTTTATTTGTCACATAATTTTTAGTGTGCATTAATATCGATTTGTATTTGTAAAATTGATAGCTTTTGCATTAAATTCAATTTGTATTGTAAAATTGATAAATTGTTAAACGTACAAATTCTTTTTTATGGTAACAACTTAAAAAAATGATAGTAATTTTTGAAATATTGTGTAGTCAAATCTTCATATGGAAGTAACATCATAATTATTGTATCTTATAAATCTTCTCTAAAATAACTTTAGCGTGAGATAATGCCTTTATTTAGTATTATAATATTTTAGATACTTAAACAAAATGTTCAGACATATTTTTTTACATATTCTATCTATATGTACGTATATGTATATAATCACATATATGTAACACATGTTAACTTTAATTATTTTAGACATGTTTTCTTTACAAAATAGTTTAAAAAATCTTACATGCACTTCTATACTTATATAAAAGACATTCTATTTACTAAAATTAGTAGTAAGAAAAGTCAAAGATAATTAATGATTCTATTTCCATCAAGTATTTTATTGAGTTATTTTAGTTAATTGTTTTATATCATAACACCTTTTCAATACAACTTACTATGATTTTTTTTATTGTGATTAAGAACCAAATTTTACGTTTAAAATATTATGAAATATTGTTATTATTTTTATAAAGCACATATTATTTGTTAAAAAATGGTATATATATAATACACATCACAGTACCATGATAGATGATTTAAATTTCAACCGACCAAAATGCCAATGATTTAAATTTGAACACACCTATGCATTTGACCAAATGTCTGGATGATTTAAAATTGAGCCCATAAAAAATTATTTAAATTTGAACACACTAGAAATTTGATGTACTCTTTATTTATAAATATATTGAAAGTGGTATTTAATGGTTGTTATATAAACTATTTTAATGTAATTGAAATTAACAAAAATTTGAATGAATAATTTGTAATGTTATTCATAATGTTTGTGACTTATGAGACACGAACACATAACTCCATACATATTTGCCAGAGGGTGGCTTAATAATTTTTTAGACTTAACGTTGATTAAAAGAGGTAGAAATAGATAATAACATTATTACTTTTTTTTTGGACTTAAACGGACAAGGATGTGAAAATAACTCATTTAATATCTTTGTCACGTGCATCGCACGGGGTACGTACTAGTTCAGTGTAAAATGCAGGTGATATTTTGAATAAACGGGTTGCCCCATCCCGCCAGCCCGTTCTTGACATGCCTACTAAAAAGATTAAAAGAAAATTACAAAGTGTTTCCCATACTATTCATCAAAACAAAACAAACTAGTGTCTTACATACCTGTAAACAAAATCCCTATTCATTTACTTATTTATTATACAGCTGCTTCAAGTGGTAGATGCAAGTTTGAGTATTATTATGTATTTGGACTCTAAAAATGTACAACCATAGAAGAATAAGAATTCACCAAGTGAAGCTGATGGACTCAAAATGTAGATTCTCTGTTGGCCCAGTGGAGCAAATACCAGCAACATCATGCCTCATCTCCATAGGCCCACTAACAAGTACTCCAACATTTGACTCTTGGATCTCCATTAGAATCCCTACAAAAGTATAACTCAATGCCCATATCAAAGCCTTGAAGGCTAATCTTGAAGATGTGTATTATTACATAATATAATATTTAAATGTTTAATCTGATTATTAATAAGTAAATAGTGCTATCTTTGAAAGTCACAAAAAGATGGTACTTTTGGGCTTGACTTACTCTTTAAATCATGTCACATGTATATTGTGTCAAAGTTCATTTTTCATGTAGAATGATTATTTCAATCATACTCAAGATTTGAACTTGACTTACTCTTTAGATCGGGCCTTCGACCATAATGCACGTCGATGGACTTGATAACTGACTGTAGGGGAAAGCTCTCTAATTCCACACCATCCATTGACCCAAATGTGTTTCCACTTTTTTCCATGTCCTGGATTTGCTTGTCCTCATTTGCATTCTGCTTCTTATTCCACACGAACACACCACTTGCAGCCACCACTATGGAGCAACATATCAAAAAAATGTTCATCAAATTCTTCTTAGCGGAAGAGTACGAAAAGTAGGTGTTTTTATCGACAGGGTACACGACGTATTGCGTGAAAATCCCTAGAAACACGAGAAAAATGACGAAAGACGATGATATAATCGTGGCCAGCCAAAGCCAGCTGTTGGGGCCTAGTGCTGGGAAGATAGGGGCGTCGGATGGGCTGGCCTTGAACTGCACGGTTCGGATTGGGTGTGGTTTTTCCGTGGGCCGGGCCTTCTCTCTCGTCACGTGGGCCTCGATTCGCAGGCCCAAGTTGCAAGAGTACTTTGTGTGAGAAATTGGGGGTATGAGGTCTAGCATGGAGAGGTGTGAGGTGTTTTTGAACACACTAATGAGCATGATATTTGGGATTCTGCAATGTTGAGTAGTTGAGCTCATGAATATTAGCTCTCTGATGATGGAAATGCAAGGGGCTATTCCACTTCCTCCACTGATCATCACCAACATATTATACCTGTAAAAGTTTAATTAAAAATAATTTTCGAAGCAAATGCCATTTAATAGTTGAGCGTGCTGTTTTGCTATTAGACTTATCCTTAGAGGTATTGTTGGTAATTAATCACAAATATTACGAACCTGAGAAAACTTGTCGAGGCTGGTCCATACGGTCCTTCAACCGAGACTTGAAGATGCTCGATGGAGGAAGGAGACGATATCGTGTCGTATAAATTCTTAGTCCAACTGCCCTCACATTTGATTAGCACACTAAGATTTTCCGGTTCTAAGCTGCTGTTTGAAGTTATAGTGAAAGGGTGCCATTGCAGCTTGGAAATTACAGGCACGTTTATGAAGATGGTACTTGTGGGATTGTATATTACACCTGCCAGAATGAAATGAAATTAATTATTCCCTATGCAGATTTCGTGTTTTCAAGTTTCAACCAATCAAGCGCGCGAGAGAGATCGAGAAATTAAGTTTAATTTTTCAAATAAGCTAAACTTATTGTTGTTCGATTTATTATTGCTTGTCGGTTTTGTTTGGTAGTTCTCTCTGTTGGTTGCTCTGATTTCCCCCCTTGTTACCCCATGTATCTCCCTAGCACACTAAGGTGTCTCTTTTTGTTGGTTTGCTTAGATAGTTTAGTTAAAGACTTCAGTAAATTTTATACCTTTTAGTTAGGCTATCTTAGTTTGTGTTGCTTAGTTCCTTCAAGTGGAACTCCCGAGATTTGTATTGGTCATCTGGCCTCTCCGATTCTGTACATACTCCTCCGTTTATTTATATACCGTTCCATTAGAAAAAAAAAAACAAAAACAAAAAAACAAAGTGATTTAACCATTATCTATTCTTTATGAAGTTAATGTTTCTTCTTGAAATTTTTTCTCTCTTTCCTTATTATGACAATGAATTTTATGAACAACATAAAACTTTTGTACAACTTGATTTTATTTCGATCAAACGATTTGCGGGTACAATTTCTATATGTCTCTCTGATTCTTCTCTTTATAGATTTGGGCTTGAGATCTTGAAAGATGGATTTGACGATTAAATCTTCTTCGGGCTTGATCTTGAATTTCTCTAACATTAATTTGGGGGTCGAATGATTTATTCCCGTATTAAATGTTAGACCTTGATTTAATTGAAGAGACTTCTTGGAGGACTTGAATCTTTGATCTTCTTGAAAGAGAGATTTTGACTTGAATAACGTTGACTCGAGGGCTTGATAGCTTTTTTCCCGGATCAAACGCTATGTTGGTTGAACTTCTCAACGAACACGTCTTGAATGTCGCTTGAAGATCGTTGATATTTTTGGATTGACTTGAGAGGAGTTGAAGTCGTCTCTTTACTTCTTGGAGAAGAGTCGCCGCCTCTTTTTCTTCTTCTTGGCCTTCTTCTTCATTGAACGGACTTCGAGTGGTTCTTCAAGAACTTCTTCAAATCTTCAAGAGGGTCCTTGAGAGCTATTGAATTTGAAACTTTAATTTTTTAAGTGTGTTTGATATTTGAGGTGTGATTTGTGGCATTGAAGAGAACCCTATTTATAAGTGTAGGAGAGAGAGTCTTGGAGAAGAAGACTTCAATTTGATTGGTCGTTCATGATTTGACACAATCTCTTTCATTCTCCAAAGATTTAATATAATCTATTTCCTTATCCCAAGATTTGACTTGGTGGGCAAGAAATAATTATTTTATTGATTAAATATCTATTTCTTTTTTGATTTATGTCCCAAAATGAATAAAGACATTAATTAATAAAATATTAAAATTTCGATGTCTACAAATGCCCCATTTGAGACTTGTTGACGGACAAAATGTCTTGGTAGTGAATGAGTCTCAAAATTTTGAATTTAGTTTGGACATGCATATAGTTTAAACTCTTATCTAGGAGTTCTTCGACTTGACTTTGTAGAAAGTTTAAACTCATATCAGGGAGTTCTTCATTTGACTTGATTTGTATATAGTTTAAACTCATATCAAGGAGTCTTGATTTGATTTGACAGATAGTTTATACTCGTATCAAGTAGTCTTCAAGTTTGTAGACATTTTATGCTCGTATCAAGGAGCCTTCAAATTTGTAGACATTTTATGCTCGTGTCAAGGAGCCTTCAAATTTGACATGTAGCCTTTTTATTCTCGTGTCAAGGAGATCTTGATATGTAGACATTTTATGCTCGTGTCAAGGAGTCTTCAAGTTTGATCTGTAGACCTTTTATTCTCGTGTCAAGGAGATCTTGATATGTAGACCTTTTATTCTCGTGTCAAGGTGATCTTGATATGTAGACATTTTATGCCCATGTCAAAGAGCCATAAAGATAGTTTAAACTCTTATCAAGGAGCATTTGAATAGATATGTGGATAGTTTTGGTTCATATCGAGGAGCATTTGAATATGTAGATAGTTTAGACTCATATTAAAGAGGATTTGAATATGTAGATAGTTTAGGCTCATATCAAAGAGCATTGTAGATAGTTTAAGCTCGTATCAAGGAGCATTTGAATATGTAGATAGTTTAGGCTCGTATAATCGAATTTGTAGACAGTTTAGGCTCATATCAAGGAGCATTTGAATTTGAGACTTGGTTGGAGCTTTCCATGTGAATTGCCCCCATGGAATTTGAGAAGAATATGGAAGACCACTTTTTGTTTCCTCCATTCGGATGTTGATGAACACGACGATTTTTTACGGGCTCTTGGCTTGGGAAGACATCATCCTTCGTTGCCCCTTGTATATTTTCTTCAAAGAAGTATTCATGCATCTTCAAAGATCTTCGAACTTGATTTGAGAGAAGAGATGAGAGGTAGAGAATGTCCCACTGGGCGCGCCAAATTTAACAATGAATTTTATGAAAAACATAAAAGTTTTGTACAACTTGAATATATCTAGATCAAACGATTTGCGGGTACAATCTCTATATGTCTCATCCGATTCTTCTCTTTATGAATTTGGGCTTGAGATCTTGAAAGATGAATTTGACGATTGAATCTTCTTCGGGCTTGATCTTGAATTTCTCTAACATTAATTTGGGGTCGAATGACTTATTCTCGTATTAAATGTTAGGCCTTGACTTGATTGAAGAAGACTTCTTGGAGAACATGATTCTTTGATATTCTTGAAGAGAGATTTTAACTTGAATAACGTTGACTCGAGAGATTGATAGCTTTTTCCCGGATCAAATGCTATGTTGGTTGAACTTCTCAACGAACACGTCTTGAATGTCGCTTGAAGGTCGTTGATATTTTTGGATTGACTTGAGAGGAGTTGATGTCGTCTCTTTACTTCTTGGGGAAGAGTCGCTGCCTCTTTTTCTTCTTCTTGGCCTTTTTCTTCATTGAACGTTCGGGCTGTTCTTCAAAATTTTTTTCAAATCTTCAAGAGGGTTCTTGAAAGCTATTGAATTTGAAACTTTAATTTTTTTTAGGTGTGTTTGATATTTGAGGTGTGATTTGTGGCATTGATGAGAGCCCTATTTATAGGTGTAGGAGAGAGAGAGTCTTGGAGAAGAAGACTTCAATTTGATTGATCCTGATTTGACACAATCTCTTTCTTTTTCTTAAGATTTGATAAAATCTCTTTCTTTATCCTAAGATTTTACTGGTGGGCAAAAAATAATTACTTTATTAATTAAATATCTTATTTCTCTTGGATTTATGTTCCAAAATAAATAAAAAAATTAATTAATAAAATATTAAAATTTTCATGTCTACACTTGTTTCCAATGATCTTTTTTTTTTTTTTTTTTTTTTTTTTTTNTGTTCATCCCGAGAGAAACAAAAATTGAACAAAGTTAATGTATGCAATAAATTCTCCACATTTTTTGTAGCATATTAAGTTAAGTGCGTTTTTTTATCCTTTGACAGGTTCCTTCTTAGGATGACTTAATTTTTTTTTATTATTTATTTATTTATTTCAATTTGTGCTTATTTGTATTATACTATTATTTGGAGAACTGTAGAAGTTTATGGAGATTTTTTTTATCAAATTGTTATTCATACATTTGAAAAATCATAACCATTCAATAGAACTTTATTCTGAAAATCCAAACATAGATAGTTAATAATTTAGTTATATATACAAATTTTTGTATCTTTTGATTATACAAAAAACTAAAAATTATATATTTTTTATAATCTATCCATTAAGAAATAAAATTTTATTTACTTATTTAATCATTAATTATATAGAAAAAGCTGGGAGATAAATGTATTTCCTATACAAGTATGTTAGGCATTATTATTATTAGCCGGTTAAAAGTATAAGACCCACACAACCAGACCCACACAACCGGCCAATTTTGGAAGAAATTTGGTTAATGTGAATGATAAAAAAAAATTGTTTCATATTGTGTGGTAATACTTAAGATTACTCCTTTATATTGTCTTGATTATTTATGTATGCTATTAAAATTATCAATATTTTTTAAATAATCATTTTTGTTTACAATATTATATATAAAAATAGATAACAAAAAAATGTTATTAATTTTTTTTTAAAAAAAATAACATTAATACTTAACAAGAAAAATAAAAAAGAAAAAAAAGGAAACAACTATATGGAAAATAAATAGAAGAGCAATTATAGTTGATAAATTTTGTATCCACACGCTTTATAAAATATTTTAAGTTTCAATTTTTTTCACATAATTGATAAGCACACTAAGGGGTATATTCAATTAGGACTTTTAGAGACTTTTTAATACTTTTGAAATTTAGGGGTATCCAATTGAAATTTTTTGAGACTCTCAGAAAGTTTACATGTATTCAATTAAAACTTTGCAAGAGTCTCTAAAAATTGCCCGCTATTCAAGCTAGGAAGATTTTGAGAGACTTTTAAAAGTCAATGATGATTCTTGGAGACTTTTTTACCATAACTCCAAGAAGTATAAATAAAAAAGTCTCACTAAATTTTGTAAGATTTCACGTGAAGACTGCTCTCTCTGTCTCTCTCTCTCTGTCTCTCTCTCTCATGATGCGGGGCTAAAATCCTCAAACAATTTGAGAACAATGCTGCGACGTTTCCCATGGTAGAAATAATTTGTTTTTTCTCTTTATTTTCCAATATCATTGCCACTGGTATTTAAATGCTTGAATAACAGAAGAAACTACATAACATAATACATATAAAGGGGAAACTATCTCCTGACTAATAACTATGCTAGTCTGTAGTCAACACATGGATGTGGGGTGAAATACATGAACATATGTGCATGATATTGTTAATTATATTTTTGTTCTTTTTTATTATTCTATCTATTTTCCTTAAAATGTCAATAAGATAACTATTGCACACTTTTGATTCGAGTGTTAAATATATTACATTTTTTTAATTTTCTTACCGAGTTTGCTTGTTATAATATTTTTTTTTTTGTCTTGTCTTCATTCTAGCTCAATAGGTAATGTTTAATATCCTAACTCATTTTAAATTAATATTATAATTTTTTATTACTATTTAACTTTATTGATATTAGTTATTATCCACATAATTTTTTATGAACATTTCATGCAAATTTATTATTATATGAAGAATTATATAAAAATATTATAAAGTCCAAAAAAGTTCACATTAAAAGTTTTAAAAAGTCTCTATAACAATCTCACAAAATTCACAAAAGTCATTAAAAGTTGTATAAAGTCCACAAAAGTCACCATTTTAAAAAGTCTCTAAGAGTTCTAATTGAATACACCCCCTAAGATTCCCAAGTTCTTTAGTCCAATTGCCCTCACACTTGATAAGCACACTAAGATTCTCAGGTTCTAAGCTGTTGTTTGAAGTTATAGTGAAAGGGTGCCATTGCAGCTTAAAAATTATGGGCATGTTTATAAAGATGGTACTTGTGGGATTGTATATTACACCTGCCAGAATGAAATGAAATTAATTCCCTCGACTCTGAGGCCATGAAAAGAGATCAAGAAAGTTTGATTTTGCAAATAAGCTAAACTTTTACCTCGACTCTTGGCAAAATTGAGCTCAATAGTTTGGCATGGCAAAACTCGAGCAGAAATCAGACGGACATTTTGTCTGGATTGTAAGAACCTAAGGTATCGGTCGATGACAAAGAGATAAAAACC